TGGACAATAACCACGCTGAAACTCACCTTCCAACGGTACTCGCCTCAATGTCATCGTTGAAGAAGCTTCCAGCGCTCTCCGACCACTCGAAGTCCTCAACCATCACGTTCTCATTGCCTCGTCTTTTGAGGAAGAGGAAGAGAAGAACCAAAAGAACGACAGCCAGAAGGACGCCGATCACAATGCCAGCAATGGCACCTCCGCTGAGGCCACCGTCATCCAGGACCGCAGCTAAAGGCAAAAAAAGCCCTCAACGACCGCATCGATGTAAACATATGTCAACTACTTTAATATTCTCTCATGCTTGTAGCTGGATTTCGTATTGACAGGGATCAACTAGATATAGGAATTTTTGGTAAATTGTGTTACCCAAATGACCAAATTTAAAATCTGCTTACCTGTTTTTATATTTAGGTAAGTGGGTTTCATATTGGTTTGCCCGGAAGTGGGAGAAGAGAGCGATTACGCCGCAGGTAGGTGTTTACTTTCATTCACGCCTCTATTTAGTTCAAGCTTCGGGTCAGAGTTACGTCTGGGGTTTTATGGTGATTGTTAAGAGTTCCAGTATTCTAAGGGTTAGGGTTACTAAACTTTGATTATGTTTTGCTTCATAATATGTCCGATCAGCTAAATAACCTTGGAAGTTGAATGACATTCGCCGTCGACTATATGACCGAAAAAGATCAGCAATGTATTCAACTTTGTAGCAATCTTACTTTTAGTAGTTTAATTATTGTCGTCGTTTTGCTTTTCGGAAATCAGTGCTATAGTAAACATAAAGTCCGCATTTGTAGTTAACACCGTAACTTATCATGTATTGCGATACTACACGTAACTCTTGTAAAAGGATTTCGAAAACATGATGAAGGAGATGACTGAAAAACTTACGTTCCAGTGTTGTAGTGGTCGTGGTAGTCGTAGAAGTTGAAGCTAAATATGAAAAAATAAAAATCGTTAAAACACATCTATATGGGGACTTGGATATTTTTTTAACATCTGTGCTTGCAAATTAAGCGAGATTGAAACTTATTTTTGATCCGTTTGAATAAAATGTGGTTTTTAAACGCACAAGAACACCAGAGATTGCGCGGAATGTACGAATATGAATCCTTGTGAAACACATTAATTTGGCCATAACATAAAAAGAGGTAAAAATCCCGCGAAGGTGAACCCAAATATTTTTGCATATGTATATATACATACAGACATGCATATTTGGCTATTTGCTTATGTATACTCTTATATTGTTAACTAAGCATGACTTAATCTAAGGATCCTTATATATCCAAATCTACAACGCATGCTCTGTAAGTGTATATATTAACATAAGCTGCCTATCCAAGGTGTTGATAAAATGTCGTAAGTTGCTGCCAAATCCTGCGAAATGGGTCATCTGCTCGCCTCCGCAGGCACCGCGAGATAAAAGCTAAGTCTGATATTTACCTTCACTCACGTCTATATCGGTTTCAACTTTACGGTCACAGTTATGTCTGCCGCGTTTTTTTGAGGAAAAGGAAGAGAAGAACCAAGAAAATGGCAGCCAGATAAACACCGATTACAATGCCTGCAATGGCAGCTCCGCTGAGGCCACAGTCATCCAGGACCGCAGCTAAAGTCACAGAAAGCCCTCAGCGACCACACCGATGGAAACATATGTGAATTACTTCAGTCCTATCCCATGTTTGTAGCTGAATTTCCTATTGGCAGCGATCAACTGGATATAAGAATGATTGGGTATTCTACGTTACGCAAATGGTCAGTTATTGAAACTGCCAACATGTTTTTATATTTGGTTAGGTGGGTTTTTATAACGGTTTGCTTGGAAGTTGAATCAGATTCACCATCGACTACATGACCATAAGAGATCCATCCTGTATTCGAATATTAGGTAACCTTATTTATAGTAGTTTAATTAATGTACACATTTCGCTTTTCGGAAATAAGCGCTACAGTAAAAACCTAGACCATATGGTGAGCTACAAATCATAATTATACCGTATCCCGAAAAGGCGATGAAGTAGCGGACACAAAAAACTTAGGTTCTGGTTTTGTGGTTGTCGTGGTAGTGGGCATGGTGCTTGTTTTAGTCGAAGGAGTTGTAGCTAAAGACAAAGTGAATGTGAA